CGTGAGTACCGTGAGGAGTACGGAGACGACTACACTGAAGGTGCCACATCCCACCCAATCTCGTAGCACCTATTACGCATGGCTAATATAGAAATGCTAGCGCTTACTTTATTGGTATGATCACATTATGGTAGGACTTGCATGGTAGTATGCTTTCTTGATGGCCTTTACCTTGACGCAACCTTACCCCTGCTCACCCTGCTGTTAGGCTAGTCACACGCTTGCTATTATATTTCATTGCTTATTACTTCTACTACGCTTACACTACATTGATGCGTGGTGGAAACTTGTGATTGGGGAGAGTGCTGTGTGTGTGACTTGGGTGCGTGGAGGGTGAGGGTTGTGTCGACCAAGTTGGAGTATATGACGAGCCTGGGGCAAGTCTTGCCATGGGGTGCTACCTGGGCACCCCTGGAATGGATACCTGTGGTGGGTAAATGGTATATGAGGTGGCCTTGGGTGTGATCCTGTGATGGGAGGAGCCTAGGGTGGAGGTGCTGTGGTGGCACGGTAAATGGAAACCCTGATGAAGACATTCTGGCTTGGTCATCCCTAAGGACTTACTAGTACTCAGACTCACCGGGAAGCCTTACGTACCACTCGCCCTATATGGTGCGGGACGGCCGGACTACTTGGTAGGATATTGCCACTACTGCTAGGTAGATAGTGGACAGTGTAAGGAGGTACGAGGTGTGAAGGATTTCCCCCACACCCTTACGAGACTTCATGGAGACCTTGTGGACCCGGCTCATGACTCACAGTTTCAGCCACCCAAGACCGGACTTGGGGTGTACCAGGGCTGAATGGTAGAGTGGCATTATCCTAGGCTAGCAAGCGGCGGGAATCAGCCTAGTTGACGACGGTCAGCGAGGAAGGCGGATCTTGTGGTTATGTAAAACCTCTGCAGAGTGTATGGTTGATCGATCGATACATATGCTGACTTGTCGGCTATAGACCTTTCCTAGGTTTCGCTTAAACTAGATAGTGAGATGAGTCTTTCTTTTCTCCCCTGGGATGAGTGTTCGAATGTAGCCAGGGGTTACGGGCCTTGAGACAGTGCCGATAGGGAGTTGGCCTGTCGACTGAGCGATGGTACGGGTGTGGTATGGTGATGGTGTGGATATGGTGGTATATCGATCCCAGGATCGAAACCTGGCTCTAGAATGGGAATGGGGTGGAATGTGTGAGAATGGTGTTAAAACTTGACCAACTATTATTATGAACTTGATATGCTAATACATAGGAAACCCCAGCTTTATAGGTTCCCTTTTGATTATATCCAACTTGCATCCAATTTCCACAAAGCAATGCTGATAGGGTTGGGAGTGGCCAGTACAAATCGTACTGATAAATTTTGGCACACATGTTCTGTTGAGGAGTATAGCTCCGAGGAGTTTGACAGTTGAGGGGTTCGTTCCTACGCTCGAGTTTGGCGATCTTATCTTCAAGCTGTTCTGAATGAATGCTACTTTTGATTCCGCCAATGCAGCGATGTAATAAATTATGTAATTCCGCACTATTTGTACTCTGATATTATCGTTGTATGGATGTGATATTCGACTGAAATTTGGGTAATATGATCTACCACGGTCTTATTACACTTTGACTCTGTGGATTTCCCTTCGTGGAAATCAGGGTTGTTTCACCACCTAAGCTTACTAGCAATGCTCAATAATAAGGCAACCAATGCCAAATTAGAGAGCGCAATTACTTAGCTATACAAACTAAGCAATGTGACTAACACAAACCAAATTAGCCACGCAAGGGAGCTACTTCTACGCTACACAAGCAAGAAGGTAACTAATAAGCTACACAAGCTAACTAATTACAAGAGCAATTACACAAGCACAATATACATGAAATATAAATACAAGCTTGTGAAAGGGGATTGCAAACCAACGAGAAGAACAAGGTTGACATGGTGATTTTTCTCCCGAGGTTCACGTGCTTGCCAACACGCTAGTCTCCGTTGTGTCGACTGCTCACTTGGTGGTTCGGTGGCTAATAGGCATCACCCGCCAAGCCCGCACGTTGGGCACCGCAAGAACCTACCCCAAAAGTGAAGGTAGCTCAATCACATGTTCAACTAGAGTTGCTCTTCACGGCTCCCGCGGGGCAAGCACAATGCCCCTCATAAAGCTCTTCCCCGGAGCACCGCACAAGCTTCTTGCGGGCTTTGACGGAGACCACCACCAAGCCATCTAGGAGGTGGCAACCTCCAAGAGTAACAAGCACCACCGGCTTGCAACTCGATCACCTAGTGCCACTCGATGCAACCTCACGATGCAATAGCACTAAAATCGCTCTCTCACACAATCGGATGATCACTATCAAGTATGTGTGAGATGGAGGGCTCCCAAGCACTCTCAAGCATGGACACAAAGTCCCCCGAGGTGCTCCACACCAGCCATGGCCGAGACACCCTTATATTTATAGCCCCACGGGCAAAACTAGCCGTTACCCCTTCACTAGGCATTTTTCGGGTTGACCGGACGCGCCGGTCATAACGACCGTACGCAGGACCTCAGCGTCCGGTCAACGGATGCTCGCCACGTGTCACCACCGTTCAACCTCAGTCGCTTGATCTCAACGGTCAAGTGATGACCAGACGCAGCTGCTCAAAGTGACCGGACGCAGCAACCCCAGCGTCCGGTCATTTCCAGTAAGGTACCAATCGCGACCGGATGCGTCCGGTCGGTCACGATCGGACTCAGCATCAGCGTCCGATCCTTCTCCACCTTCTCTGCGTCGCCTACGTCACCGTACATCAGCTTGACCGGACGCACCCTGCCAGCGTCTGGTCACTTTCAGCGCCAGCGTCCGGTCGAAGACCGACGCCTGCACGCTCTCTGCCACCATTGATCGGACGCAGGACCCCAACGTCCGGTTACCACGTGACCAGCGTATGGTCCACTCTGTGAGACCCTGTCTTTTTCTGTATAGGGCGCCGGTGGCACCGTTGGACTGTCCGCACTCTACGGGCGGACACTCCGCCGGTGGAGTTCCTAACCCTTCTCACCTCCGTTTTATCGCCGAGTTGATCCACATCAACTCTATCTTCATCTTCTTTATAAATGTGCCAACACCACCAAGTGTACACCATCATGTGTATGTGTGTTAGCATTTTCACAATCATTTTCCAAAGGATTAGCCACTCAACTTGCCACGCCACTCAATCCTAGCGACGATGCAAAGTTAGATCACTCGAGTGGCACTAGATAACCGATATGCAAACAAGTTTGCCCCTCTTGATAGTACGGCCATCTATCCTAAACTCGGTCACCAACTTCTCTACACACATATGACCGGTGAAATGAAATGCCCTAAGTTATACCTTTGGCTTGCGCATTCTATTCCATCTCCTCCAATGTCGATGCAACACATACACCAACATGATCAATAATGATATGATCCACTTCATATCATCACGTGATCATATTGGTTCATCGATCTTGACTTCACCTGCTTTTCACCGTTGCCTTCGTCCATCGGTGCCAAGTCTTGCTCAAGCTTCACCGCCACGCGGTCCATCGCTCCAAAGCCTCTGACTTGCCCTTCACGCTTGCAACCGGTCCATCAAGCCAAGTATTGTCTTGATCTTCTTCACCTTGATCACATGACTCAATGTCATGTCTCATGTGCAATGAGCTCCTTCATCATCATATGTGTGAGCTTTGCAACATCTCCAAGCCATTTTCGCCTTCATGGTATATGTTGCTCACACACATGTACCTATGGACTAATCACCTATGTATCTCACATAAACGTAATTAGTCCATCTAGGTTGTCACTCAATTACCAAAACCACACAAGGACCTTTCAACGGCTACGGCCAGGACGACGGTGTGGGTGCACGGAGGCACGAGACGTCGGAGATAGGGAAGACCACAAGGAGACATGGTGTGGAGGTGCTGATGAGTGGACCCCATATGTCAACGGGTGAGAGGAAGGAGGAATCACTCAGTCTTCTATTGGGGACGGGTGCACGAACGACAACTTCAAACGTTAGACATCCATCTCGACAATTGATGAGTAGGATTCGACATTGGGCCTGAGTAAGGGGCTATTTGGTCTATACAAATAGAGCCGCTATTGGTATGTCAGTGGACCTAAAAACATGACACGTTTATAGCATATTTTAAGTTTTGAAGAAATTATGTTGACATGTCCTAGCTATTTCATTAGAAGCGGTGACTGACGTGCTTTGAAAAATTAAATTTATAACGGCATGATTATTATTAACCTAGACTCAAATCCCCGCACTATCTCTAGAATGGACCTTGCGTGATTGCGTCAGCAGTGAGATCACAGCACGCAGTATTTTCTACCACCGAATCTCGTCTGCGCGCGCCGCCGGCCAGCTTTTAACTTTCTCTGGACGAAAGCTCTTCACGGTTCAAATCCATCTATCTATATATAGGAGTAAAATGAAAAATACTGTGTATCCCATCGTCCTGACTCCCGAGACAGCATCCACAAAGAAAACTAAGCCCGTGTTTAATTAAAAAAAAACTTTCCAAAAAGTGTTATAGTAGCCATCATATCGAATCTTACGATATGTGCATGGAGCATTAAATGTAGACGAAAAAAAACTAATTGCACAGTTTGGTTGGAAATCGCGAGACAAACGTTTTGAGCCTAATTAGTCCATGATTGAACACTAATTACCAAATAAAAACGAAAAGTGCTACAGTAGCCAAATTCTAACTTCCCCCAACTAAACACGCACTAAGGCCACATTTAGTTCCAAAACCAAATTCTCAAAAAGTGCTACAGTAGCCATCACATTGAATCTTGCGATACGTGCATGGAACATTAAATGTAGATGAAAAAAAAACTAATTGCACAGTTTGGTTGGAAATCGCGAGACGAACGTTTTGAGCCTAATTATTCCATGATTAAACACTAATTGTCAAATAAAAACGAAAGTGTTATAGTAGCCATATTCCTAAATTTCACCCAACTAAACACAGCCTAAAGAAAGAACTGTGTGAGAGAGCATGGCAAGCTCACACGGCTTTGAGAACCCGCCGACGCTGGAGCCGGCCAGCGGAGGAGGAGAGGTTGTCGACGACTTCGGCGGGCAGAAGGCATACGTCACCGGCTCCGCCGGGTCCAAGGCGGCCGTCGTCCTCATCTTCGACGCCTTCGGTAATCTTTCGTGCCCCGAGCCCCCAAGTCAACGACATGTTTGTTTCGGTTGAATTGGCTTATAAGCCATGAGTGAAAGTACTGCTGGCTGGTTTGGCGTAAAAGAAAAACACTTTTTAACCGTGGATTATAAGCCAGATACAAGCGAATAAGCCGAAACGAACAGGCTGCAAGCTTCAAAGTTCTTGTGTTTTTATTTGCTAGCATTGAAATCCGTTCTTCTTATTGTAGGGTTCGAAGCGCCAAACCTGAGGTACGCTATGAATATGATGATCTATTTACCTTTACTTTTCTTTCGTTAAAGCGCAAGAGAAGAGCACCTGCTAGTCTCTGCTGACCTTCTAGTCTGAACTGGGTAGTTGCTATAAACCATAGAGTTAATCGCTTTCCTCAGCCTGGGCCTGTGGGGATTAAAATTTGTCCAATGGGTTGTTTAAAGTTTGAATGGCATTATTAGCTTTAGTTATGAATTTTACTAGTATTTTACATTAGTAACTGATGTTACACGTTTAATTATCTCGCGAAGGAAGATAGCCGACAAAGTTGCTTCGTCCGGTTACTTTGTTGTGGTGCCCGATTTCCTGCATGGGGATCCATATGACCCCAGCAATCCCAACAATCCTGGAATGTGGATGCAGGAGCATAATCCGGTTTGTCTTCTCTTCGATTTTATTCTAATACTTTTTTTTATTACAGTAGTAAATTGATTGTAAGGGAATGTGCAATTCTCGTGCAGTTCATAGCTAGTGAGTACTTTATTTTAGGGTTCATAGTGTCAGCCCTGTAGAAATCATGACAAAACTGAAAACTCCCAAGATGGGATGAAACACAGATACAATACTTGTATTTGTTTGTTTCTGAGATTCAGAGCTGGATGTGTTGTATATTGATACGCACCCATATAGGTATCAGAAATGTAACTTCAGATTCCGATTCAGATACAGTGAGGATATTAAATGCCTAGATTCACGTATGAATGTCTATTTAGTATTTGAACCTCTTGATGGACCGATGTTGGAAAAAAAAATCATCCCTACTCCCAAGATCTAAGTCTAAAGAATGTTTCAACTTGAATGATCATTTCATAAATAAATAAAATTCAGTTTTACATCCCTCAACTATGGGTTGAGAACACTTTTCAACCTTCACTCACAAAATGTTCACTTTTTTACCCTTAAATATCAAAATCTTCGCTTTTCAATCTTAGCTCAAATTTGAGGTAGCTTTGGGTGACATGTCATTGACATGATGTCCTTGTTCACCTAAACGACCACATAGCCCGTGTAAATGATATATGGTGGTAGGGCATTTCCATTCAATTGCTCATTTATTCTGCTTAGTTTTTTTAGGGCAAAAACTGTGGGGGAGATCCCCATAGCACATTTATTGTGCTTAGTTGTCCATTTAGCTCAAGAATGGCTAAAGATAAGTGATTGATAGTTTATCGTTTAGGTGAACAATCTTACGACGTTGTTCAAGCATAAATATTTATTTTATTCAATAAATTAGTATATTAGAGAACTTTATTTTTTCCACTTGTACCACAAAATAGCAGTCTAAGTTTAAAAAAGGTTTCTGTGATAACTAAAATTTAAAACTCTCCAAAGCAACCTGGTTTCTAATACGCATGTATGACTTAGATATATTTGTCTTCAAAATTGTTCAAAAGCAATATACTAATCTTATTATTAGTAAATGAAGGCCTCCTATATATTAATTCTCACAAGACACACTAGAAAAAATAGAAATTCTCATAAAAATTTAGTCATTAGTCCCAAACTCTAGTAATCATTTAATCTTAATATTCATCGGATCTATTATATTTTCTAAAACCATCATCAACCAATGCCATTATCAAAACCAATATAAAGTAACCCACATGAAGTAACCATATAAATATGCATATGAATTACCCATCTCTTGTCATTATTAAACATAATCTATAACAACCTGTAAATTCACATCTGAATTACCCACCATGCTATTATGATATAATTGAGTCATGCATTGAATTTGCATCCGAATTGCCCACATTTTTCATTATTAAAACTAAATTAAAGTTTTTCCCTCAAATCTAAGCCTTATTTACCGACATGTTGTGCAATCATGCGAACCAAGTATTTGTAAGCATACATGTTGTGCAATGACGCAGATCAAGTATACATGCCTGCACGAGTGATAACTAAATATTTCTATGTTACAATAATCATGAAAATTGTCCCTTTAATGACTCATACACCGATGGCACTAACTAACCATTTAGAATCAGTATTAATATACATGGAAAAAATATGTAAGACGTTACTTTCGATATTATTTTCATGAATATTAATGCATAAAGTAACATATTAAATTAAGTGTATAATGAAGACATGAAGTGCCATGTACCGGAGAAAACTGTGGATATGGATAAAAAATATATAGATTGTAATTGGTAAGTTCATCCTAACTGGATAGAGATTACAAGGTATCTATACATGTATTGAGTTGGAAAATAAACAAGTGGAGTGAGTGTGCAAAGATAAGTAATTTTGATTAGATGTAGGTACTAATAAACTTCTAATAATTTGTAAATGATTTTAATTCTTTCCAGTAAAGTTCAGTTGCACATAGAAAAGTTTAGTTTAGTTTGATCAAGATAATGGAAACGTTTTAGTTTAGTTTGAAACAGTTTAGTGTCTATTTGGCGGTCCAATTATACTTTATTTAAAAAACTACTATCTACTTAAAAAGATGTTGTAACTTTATTTTAAGTCAAACTATTAAGTTTGACCAAGCTTGTAGAGAAGATTATTAACATTTATGACACCAAATAGGGACATCATGAAACTATATTTCATGATGAATCTAATCACGCTTATTTAGTATTATAAATATTTGATATTCTTTTGTATAAATTTGGTCAAACCTAAGATAGTTTGACATAGAGTAAAACTAGAGTGTCATTCTTTTTTAGATGGAGGGAGTATTTATGTAACTTTCAAGTTTTTAAAATTCAAATACTATATATAGCCTTTAGTTATGTTGTCACATCAATGCCATCTCACCAAAATCATTCTAAATCGAGGCAAGGTTGTAAATTAAACTGTTCTGGTAGTTGAAAGTTGAAAAGTGAATGATTTTATAGTTGAAGGATGAAATATAGATCTAGCTCATAGTTGAGGGTTGCAAATTGGACTTTTATAGGCTATAATGGCTTAAGTCCTGTTTGCCACAACTTCACCAACATCTTTATGAGCTGTGAGTTGTTTTTTTTTGTCAAACACCCCTTTTTCAAAACAGCTCATGGGGTGAAGCTCATTTTTTATGCTCTCACAAAGGAATGGAGAGAGCCAGAGAGGTGAAGTTGAAAAATATAGCTTTTCACAGCTCTCTCATTTATTTTCCTCTCTCAGCCATGCATAAACTTGTTGGTAAAACTGTTTTGCCAAACAATTTTTTCAAGAGACTTTTCCCTGTGTGCGTAATCCCTTGTGTGCCCCTGAAAAAATTCAGCGGTCTTCAGCGCCACTACTCTAACTTTTTCGGGTCCTCCATGCCACTTCCGTCAGTTCAGGTTCTAATGCCGTCAAACATGCGGTGTGAAAAAAAAATTTTAAGTTCAAATATGTTATGAATTTTTGAGCATCTTAACGACTTCAAATGAAAAAACTCAAAACTAGAAAGTTGTAAATCTAAATGAGATCTATAATTTTCATATAAAATTTATTTTCATTTAATTCCATAAAAAAATATGATGATTTTTCTAAGATATATTAATCATATCAAATCATATTTTTTTCCGAAATTAAATGAAAATAATTTTTATATAAAAATTATAGATCTCGACGAGATCTACAACTTTCTAGTTTTGAGTTTTTTCATTTGAAGTCGTTAAGATGCTCAAAAAAAATTAATAACATATTTGAACTTAAGGGCATTTTCGTCTTTTCACACCTACGGTTTGACGGCGTTAGAGCCTGAAATGACGGAAGTGGCATGGAGGACCCGAAAAAGTTGGAGTAGTGGCGCTGAAGACCGCTGAATTTTTCCACGAGCACACATGGGATTACGATCTTTTATAATGGCACATAGGGAAAAGTCTCTTTTTTCAAACAGCTCAGTTTGACCGAGAAAGTTACTCGTGAAGCTGTTTTCTGAACTGTGGTGAACGGGCCTTAGTATATCGTACGACATCCTAACCTATAAGTTCCTTTGGCGAACGGTATTTTGTTACAAGCGAATCTTTCAGTCTGGTCGTAGCACTCACCATGACTTTAATGCTCTCTCCAGGGATGTACTACTTAACATTATAGTTTCGTATCCGAGTGTTGAGATAATAATGATGGTGTTTTGTTAAGGCCTCACAATCAATAATTGTTCTGCACTTCTACAGTTCCTTTTCTGTCTCAATTGTTTCCTTAGTCTGTGATTTCATATATCCTTAACAATATAACAAAGCCCCAAAATTGTCTCTTTTAATAGCAAAAGCATTTTTTTGTGATGAATAGCAAAATGCATTTGAAGAGGCAAAACCAGTAATTGCTGCTATAAAGGAGAAGGGAGTGTGCAGCATCGGTGCTGCAGGTTATTGTTGGGGCGGTAAGAAGGATTCTTGGCAACATTTTATTTTGAGCTTTTTGCAACCTAAAAAAATGCCTTGTGAGCATTATTTTGTTCCTTTTATCTCTCTGTTCTTAAACTATATGCACTGGAAATTTGACCTCTTTCAGCAAAGGTGGTTGTGGAACTTGCGAAAGTTCACGAGATCCAGGCTGCTGTATTGTTGCACCCTTCTTTACTAACTGTCGATGATATCAAAGGTCAATTATTTTGCTAGAGTTTATTCCCTGACACGATAATGTTGTTCTAATACTGCAAGAGCTTGAATTGCTTATGCATTGATATGCTATCTAATCTAATACTCAGAGGTCAAATGCCCCATTTCCATACTTGGAGCTGAAATCGATAGGTCATCCCCGCCTGAATTGTTAAAGCAGTTCGAGCAAATTCTTTCAGCTAACTCTGAGGTAAGTTGTACTAGTAATATCTTTGAAACCTTGATCTGTCTTAAGCTAGGACTTTTACATGTATATGAGAGTGTTCAGATTCCACTGAATTAAACTGGCATGCAAGACTCCGTGAGTACCGAAATAATTGGCTCTGAGATACTTTTTTACAAGCAACAGAAGAGGGGTGTGTCTTAAGTAGGTATTTTACTGTTTCGTCATCCATTGTTTAGAATAGTAATAATAGAGTAGTTATTACTTCTGATTGTTTGAACTTTGAAGCCACCAAAGTGATCATATTTACCTTTTCGACCCCTATCACTATAACTCAAAAAAAAAATGTTTGCCCTTTTGGATCATGTGAGCATTCACAGTTCAGGTTAAAATATTTCGCAGAACCATCAGTTCTCCAATATTTCTTTTTGCACTGCAGATCGATCACTTTGTCAAAATTTTCCCTGGCGTACCGCATGGATGGGCTGTGAGATACAGCGACAATGATGCATCCGCTGTCACAAGTGCGAAGGAAGCTCTGCAAGACATGAGCCACTGGTTTAATAAGTACCTGAACTGAAATCTGTAGCTGCAGCTATCCATGTAATAAGCTCCTGCTAATGAACATTATGCAACCATACTGTGTTTCTATTTTATACACTAGAACTTCTGCTTGCGTATGGGTGCTATTGTATTTTAACAGTCCACTTGCTTGTGGTATTTATACTATGTAAGGAATATGGCCTCTTATGTCATATTTACAGTAATTTTAGTGATTGAAGTGATGACATATCGAATGGAACTAACAAGTATTTGGGTCCTATAGATACAAAATAAAAGGATTGCACGAAGATCCAGCCAAAAGAGTTAAATCGAACAACACCAAGGCCCCGTTTGGATCTCTTGACGTTGAAGATGACCCCAAGCCAACACACCAGCAGGGCCTTGGACGCCCAAAGAGGTTGTAGATCAACTTGCAACGCAGCAGGAACACAGCGTAATCGACCAAACCGATCTAGAGACCGATAAGGCCGATGTAGAGCCCGTTCTTGGCTAAAAAACGCTCCCGAACTTCTTCTGGCAAGACCCATCGGGGAGGAGCACGTGAATGATCTCCTAGGACTAACAAGGCCGCATAGGATGCCGACAAATTTCGCCGGGAGACATGCCGAATAGCAGGAGGGGTTGAGAGAGGAGTAAAGGGGTAAAAAGAGTTGATAGATTAGTTTGTATGATGATTGGATAGATAGAAACTCAATCGGCCATGTACCCATAAGGGGTAGGGGTGATCTTATCCCATAGGAAAATCAATATGATACTAATATCATGTCGCTTTATGGACTTTTCCTTAGATTGGGCAAAAACTGTCATGGACCTATTTAAATTGGCTTGGGCCCAATTTGATTATCAACATATGTCCCCATGTTTTCAGGTAAATGATGCATCATGAAAACACTATTTAAAAACCAAACAGCAACGATACCCATCTCATCGGATGCTTAGTGGCTAAGGACGATGTATACATTGGCCATTTTTGTTCTAAGTTCGATACATGTATCGACCATTGCTTGCAGAGCACTTAGACTTCTTGCCAAATGCTTGGAAAATACTTTTTCAAGTACCTCCCATTTATTGCTCTTGTGAGACGTTTACCTTGCAATGTCTCTAGCAGATAGGAATTACCAAATATGACTTTTGATCACTTTGTAAGGACCCTCCCAATTTGGTGACCACTTGCCAAACTGATTGCTCTTCGATCCAATTGGAAGTATGGTTTTCCACACTAATTCTTCCACTTGGAAGGATTTGCTCTTGACTTTCTTGTTATATGCCTTGGCAACTCGAGCCTTGTCTTTCTCTATTTCCTTAAGAGCTTTTAATCTCACATTAGTCACCTCATCGATATTATCCATCATCAAGTCATGATATACAATAGCAGATAAATCATTTTGTTTAGCAAGCCTGTATGCATCCAAATTCACTTCGACAGGTAACATGACCTCTTGACCATATACCAACTCAAAAGGAGTAACTTTTGTAGCATCATGCCTTGAAATGCGATGCGCCCATAAAGCTTCAGACAAAACTTCATGGCACCTCCCTGGATTGTCTTCAATCTTCTTTTTGATAAGCTTGATCAAAGTCTTATTACTAGACTCAGCCTGGACATTAGCTTGAGCATAGGATGGAGATGAATTAAGCAACTTAATCTTATATAATTCAGCAAATTCTCTCATCTCCTTAGACGTAAATGATGTCCCTTGATCTGTAGTTAATGTTTGAGGGATGCTGAATCTATGGATAATATGCTTAGTAATGAATTCAATTACCTCCTTGTGTGTCATATTCTTCAAAGAAACTGACTCGGTCCACTTAGTAAAGTAATCCGTAGCAACCAGTATAAATCGGTGTCCCTTAGAAGGTGGGGGGTGAATTTGGCCAATGAAGTCTAACCCCCAACCATGAAAAGGCCATGGTTCGATGATAGGATGAAGCATAACAGCAGGCACAAGCTGAGTATTTCCAACCTTCTGGCACTCTTCACATTCTTTGTAGTAACAAAAGCAATCGACCATCCTAGTACGCCAATAGAAACCGGCTCTACGCAACAATCACTTCATCTTCGGGGCCGATTGATGCGTACCATAAATGCCTTTATGGACTTCTCCCATAGCCACTCTTGCTTGATCTGATCCCAAGCATTTAAGCAACAAGTCTTCGGTGGTTCTCCGATAGAGCTCATCATTATGCAACACATATTTGAAAGCGCTTCGTCGAACATTTTTATCAATTCTAGCACTTGGATCATGTAAATATCTCAATAAATGAGTCCTCCAATCTTCTAAATCGGTCCCAACATTACTAGAAGTTATATCGGACCAATTTGGGAGCTTCTCGGGTGAAGTAACTGGGCTGGCTATAGGGGAGTCGACTAAGCCGACTGGGGCAGTTGACTTAGACAACTTGGCTGCAGCAGAGAGGGAATCGGCTGAGCCGACTTGGTCAATCGGCTTAGTCGACTGATTTGTACCTGCACGGGAAAAATTAAAATTTTCATGCATCAGTTGTTCTTGAATATGAAAATTACACCCACCGACGTCATAGCCAGATGCTTGTTGAGCTAACATGTTGGTCTTTTTATTTTCATGCCTCGGAATATGCCGAATTCGGAATTTGGCAAAATAACCAATAATATCAAGGCAAGCATTAAGACAAGTTCTTAGTGATCCTTCTAAACATTGCATTCACCAGCAACTTGTTGTACCACTAGTAAAGAATCACCATAGGCTTCAACATGTTTTACCTCCATGGAACGCAACATGATCAATCCGAATAAGAGGGCTTCATATTTGGTTTGATTGTTGGTACAATAGAAATCTAATTGGCTTGACATTCTAATTTCAGCACCATTGGGAGAAACAAGAATAATACCAACACCTTAGCCATCTTTAGAAACCGATCCATCAAAATAAAGTTTCCATGGGGTAAAAGTAAGATAATTGATATCATCATCTAGATCAATACCATGCTCAACAATAAAATCAGCAAGAACTTGATCTTTTAATGTTTTCAATGGTTCAAAAGTCAAGTCATATTCAATTAGTGCATATGCTCATTTGCCTATCCTTCCACGAAGAATTGGCCGATATAACATGTGCCTTATCACATCGGCCTGACAAGCAACAACACATGTACTAGACAAAAGATAATGGCCCTGTTCGCTTCTCTTATAATCCATCTTTTTTAGTTTGTTTTTTCAGCCGGAATAGTATTTTCTCTCTCACAACAAATCAGCCGGAACAGTGTTTCGGCTTGTTTTTTCAACGAAGCGAACGGGGCCAATGTTCCATCTTAGCACAAGCATAGTACAGTGATAAGCATAATTTTTCTATATGGGCATACCTTGTCTTGGGATCAAGAAGATGAAGACAAAGATACGCAATCACATATTCTTTACCTTCGTCTTCTTGAGTCAAAACAGCCCCGATTATCTTCTCTTCGGCAGCAATATATAATTTGAAAGGAACTCCTCTTCTAGGTGCACGAAGAACCGGTGATGTTGACAAATATTCCTTTATCTTCTCAAATGCTTCTTGTTGCTTTGCCCCCTAAGTAAATTCAGATTCATCCTTCAGCTTCAATATGGGGTTGAAAGGAATAATTTTCCCGGACAAGTTAGCAATAAATCTTCTCAAGTAGTTCACCTTCCCTAGGAACTTTTGCAAGTCCTTCTTGCATGTTGGCGCCTAAACTTTCTTGATCTTCTCTATCCTCTTGGGATTAACCTCTATGTCTTTATCATGAATAATGAAGCCCAAAAACTTCCCAACCGATACTCCAAAAGCACATTTGAGTGGGTTCATCTTCAATCCATAGTGGCGCATCCTCTCAAAAGCAAGACGTAAATCGGCCAAATGAGATTTATGAGCAGCCGATTCGATAACAATATCATCAATATACACCTCCATAATCACCCTAATTAGATCATGGAAAATCAAATTCATAGCTCTTTGATAAGTAGCACCTACATTCTTTAGCCCAAATGTCATCACAACTCACTCAAAGAGACCAACAAACCCAAGACATATGAAGGTCGTCTTAGACATGTCTTCTTCAACCATGAAAATCTGATTATAACCAGTATTACCATCAAGAAAGCTAATAATCCGGTGTCCTAGAGCATCATTGATAAGCATATCGGCTATAGGCATAGGATATTCATCTTTTGGAGTGGCTGTATTCAGATCTCTAAAATCAATGCAGACTCTGATCTTCCCAAAATCTTTCTTCTCAACAGGCACAATATTAGAAACCCACTCCGCATACCTGCATGGTTGAATAAACCCCGCTTGCAACAACCGATTAATCTCTTCTTTAATCCGGTCATAGATTGTAGAATTAAAGCGATAGGGGTGTTGCTTGAAAGACCTAAATCCTTTCTTAATGGAGAGCCAATGCTCAACAAGCACTTGGCTCAATCTTGACATCTCTGTATAATTTCATGCAAAACAATCAACATATTCCTTAAGAGACGCAGTTAACTCAACTTTGTAACCAGTTTCCAAGTTTTGATTAATAAACGTCGGTCAGGGCACAGAGCCATCCCCAATATCAACCTGTTCCAAAGGGTCGACCGATGTAAAACCTTGGCCCAACTTATCGAGCTCATCAAAATCATCAATAGCTTCACAGGTATCGGTCTTATTAGCCCAATACTGTTCAACCCGATGTTTTAACCATTCAACGTTGGCATCCATTACAATAAATGATTACACGATGATATTGAGCTGATTATCAATTGGCTTCAGAGATACAGGAACAAAGCCTAGCTTAGTAACACTAATAAATTCATAGCTAGAAAGTCTCTACCAGATAAGCAGGCAATAGCATTGTGCCCCCTGAGTGTAGGAGCATCGGTTGTAGCAACGTCAGCCGATGAATCTAAATGCACAACCTCAACAACATCTCCCACCCATTGGATGAAAAATTGGTGCAAGCTAGATGGTACACAACGATTGGCATGGATCCAATCACACCTAAGTATCAAGTTATAGCTACCTTGCACATCGGTAATGAAGA